TTTCCCGTAAAATGCCTCAATCTAGTATAATCTACAGTTATTTTTCCCTTATCTAAACATCACTTGGAGTCTATCAACTCATAAAGTCAAGTAATTAAATAATACTAAAATAATCAATCCCTAAAATCAAGGAAACCTACACTTCTTTTTCTCCAAAATCAAAGCAAATAATATTAAAATAAACCTACTTCTTTTTTATTCATAACTATTTCTATACGTACACACCATACAAAATCAAGACAATTCCATGTACATATGTCAACATCACATCTTCCTTCCAAGTTTTAATTGAATTTGAAAACCAATTTCTTCAAATCGAAATTTCTTGGTGCTGGGTTATCCAAATCGACTATTTCTCGAGCCTAAAATTCATAATTAAATACTGGCTATCCAACGAGTATAATATTAATATACTTATTTTTACTCTATCGAAATTTAATTTTGACTCAAAGTATAAGAATTTAAAATATATTACCTCTTAGTCCCTCAACTTTTGAAATAATATAATATAGATATTAAATAAATTTTTATCAAAAATTTTGGGATGTTACGTTTCTGGTCCATGAGATTTTATCTTTTTTTGTGAAATTTGAATTTCCTTATGTACATGAGTACACTTAGCTTGAATTTGCTCTTCTTTACTATCGCTATCAGTAGTGTTGATATTGATCTTTTCGTTTGTATCATTATCGTCATCAGTATTATTGATTTTGATTTTTCCTTGGGGTTGTTGTTTTTGTTTTTCTTGAGTAGTACTACTCTCCCCTGTTGAAATAGCAATTGTTCTGAGAAGTCTATCTAACTTTTTTTTTTTTCAAAACTACTACTTTTTGTTGTCTTGTTGAGATTTCAATTTCTTCCATCTCAATTTGCATTTCAAGTTCTGCAATTTGGTCTTCAATATTGGTCATTTTTACCTGTAAAAGCAAATTATCTAGTTAAAGCACCAGCTAAAGAATTATTTTTACCTTTGATAATTTCAATTTTGAAATCATAATGGCTGAACCACATCTGCCATCTGACCAATCTTCCTTGTTTGTAGTCTGGATGTACTTTGGTTTTCATAAAAGAATTACAAGTACTTGAATCTGTTCTAATAATAAAACTATTAGAAATTATATAAAGTCTAAATTTTGTTATAGCTTTCTTTATAGCTAAAATTTCTTTTTTCATATATGTGATAATTCTTCTCAGCTTTAGAAAAAGTTCTAGAAGCATACCCACATAATTTTTCTTCTGCTTGATCTTGTAAATCAAGAGCTTTTAAAACTGCTCCCCAATTTTCTCGAAATGCATCTGTTTCAATTATCATTTTCTCTCCTTTTGGATGATATAATGATGGTAAGATTTTTATTTTAGATTTGATTTTCCCAACATAAAGAGTATCATCTTTAGTCCAAATCCATTTAAAATCTTTTTTCGATTTCTTTTGTAATGGTGTTCTCATTTTTGCTAGATCTTTAATGAAAGATTCTGCATGAGTGAGACATCCAAGAAATCTCATTAATTGTTTTTGGTTTTGAATTTCATTGGGAAATTCATTAATATGAATAAGAATATGAGGTTTAAGTTGTTTATGACCATTGGCTATATCTAAACCTAAATATCCAATTTTTTCTTTAAATAAATTTGCTTTCTTTTCAGATAGCACAATTCCTGCATTTATTGCTTCTTGCAAAATAATAATTACATGGTTTTCATGTTCATTTTCAGTATCTGAAAATACTAAAATATCGTCTATATAGACACAACAAAATTTTTGATGTTTCTTAAAAATATTGTCCATATGTCTTTGAAATATAACCAGGTGCTTGCTTTAAGCCAAATGGTACTACTTTTCATTGA